ACCAACACTGAGGCGCTTTAACAAATTATCAACTTTTAACATGGAAAGGACACCTGATTCAGAAGCCCTTTCTCGCACTGATTCAATAACAAATTGTTTGAGCAACGTTCCTGAAAACCATCACATTCTCTTCGACTTCACTTCTGTCAGACTGTGAGCTACTCTCACTGCTCAACCCACTCTGCATATCAGTCATAATATGTATTTCTTCGGCAACTTGTTCGTCACTTTGTAAAGATATCGTATCACTATTATTATTATTTTCAGAAGCAGTAGCAACATGATAGCCTTCGTCAAAATTTGCAATTTCCTCAGAATCGGATGATATTTCATAATCTGAATTACTATCCGAAGATTCTACATAAATTTTATTGATTCTCAATCGCAATTCATCTGCTTTAAGCTTTTTCATGGCAGTTTTTATAGCTTTTCTATGCAGTTTCCTCTTCACAGGTTTAGAATAAATCTGACATATAACAGATTATAAAAAACAAAGTTAATAATACTTCGAAGGCGTTACAAGTACTAAAACGGATAGTACTATGAATAACTAAAGTACTAACAGATAAAAACATGTAAAAGACACTAAAAGATAAAAATTGATGTCTCTACTACGCGCAACTGAGAAAATTATAACTTAAAAATAGTAATAACCTAAAAAATTTACCGGATTTTCTTCCATCGTTACAGCAATCCACAGCAATCGCTTTATGGTCACACACTCAAGCACAGCGAAATGAGATAAAACCTCTTAGGCAAAATGAGTAAATTCACTTTCCTTATTTCTGTATACAGCTTCGTTGAGTGAAACGAAAAAGCGCGGCAAGACACGGAAGGCGTGTGATGGCTGATGGCTCCTGCAGTCTGCACACAGGATGCGGAAACGCTTGTCGCGCGACAAAAGAAGCGGCCCGGTACTCATGGTAGCCAACCAACGTATCATTTTTCCGGGAACCAGAAGCTTATTGGCTACCGTGTTGCTATACCGCGGAGCAATATTATAAATGCGTGTCCTGCACACGAAATATACGCGCAAACTATAACGACATCGTTTCGACGTCATTTCGACGCTTAACAACTTCTCGACATTAATGACGTCGAAACGATGTCGATTCGATCTCTAAATAATAAACTTTAAGAATATTGAATTATATATAAACCATATGTTATATAATGTCTAAAATATTAAAAATTACACAAAACTCGCGATAAACTGTCTATTATACGCAATTTTTTGGTTGCTCGATAAATTCTAAAT